TGGCTGTATTGATCTAATCCGCCTCAATACGCATCCATACCCACACCTACACCCCACCCAAAACAATGTCTGAATGTGTCGAAAATAATAATTCTATAGATACCTTGACGAGCTTTATCCAATCATGACAAAAAAAATGAGCAAAAAAAAAATATTTTGCGTAAATTTCGGATTGTCAGTAGCTGATAATTTTATAAACTATTGAATTGTTTTTTAGATTTTCTATCCTGATTTAATTGATAAAACAAAAACTCCATCGTGTAGTCTTGTAAGTATATCTATTCGATTGCATTTTAATTCATAATAAGAATCTTTTCTTTTATTAAGACTGTTTATGAAGATAATAGAGATTTTTCAATTCTCAAATTTCATGCTGGACCACCATATGAAGTAAAATTAAAGTAAAATTAAAAATAATCATTCTTTTCTATAATTTATTCTTTAGGATATTGCATTCAAAATTGTTAGTGAAGAATGGGATAAGTCACCCGAACATGAATTTCGATGTCATATTCAAAATGGAGTATTTCAATTATGGCTTCATTTTCGTAAACAGAAATATCGTCGATAAACCTTGTTTTTTCTCTTGTTATTATTTTGATATGTGAAATATATTCTTGTATGATTGAAACTGTCAATATATAAAATCTTGATGGACATAATAAGACTATCATCTACTAGTCTTTTCATTTCAATTTTTGTATCTAATATATGATATTTTCTTTCTCGATTAATTCTATTATATCAAATCGAATATATTCTTTCTTCGAGTAATCAGAAAAACTTTTTGATTCATATGTTTATCAGAACAAAAATATGTCAAGAACAATGATCGAATTATGATTGAATGTTTGTTTTTCGAATAGTCTTTTCGATAGTTTTTTAAACATCTTGTTGCAAGTGTAATACAACATTTCATTAAATATGATTTAAAATTGACCATTTTGCGATCAATTACTAATGTTACACTATGCTAATTATCTTCAATCAGACATAACATATTGAAATTATCCGTATTCTTCCTATTAGTATAATCCGATCCATTCGCAATGAGGATAAAATCATGAGATAAACCTAATCCTCTTATTACGTTTATATTATTAGTGTTGAATCATGTCAAAGAATCTTTTGATCTGTGAGATGATCTAGTATCCTGCATCACCATCTATTCTTCTTTTGATAAAACGAATGCATTTTCAAATAAAGTAGGTAAGATTTTTCTAATTATCGTTATATATGGCAATTCATGAGCATCATCTGATTACATCAATAATGAACTATGAATATTTTCTGGCATGTAAACCTCGCAGATTAATCTCTTGTTTAATGTTTTGCACTATAACTCAATGGTTCATTACTTTGGGTTTTCAAACGTCGAATCGGGGGTGTGGGCTTATGTGTGAATATAAAGAGAAATGAACACCAACCCACATTCACACTCGCATCCGCACTCTATTACGAACAGAGAATAAGACAGAGAAAATAAGCTTAAACTCGTGTGCGAAAAACGAAAGAATGACTTGGATGACTGGTATATAAGAATATGATTGTAGTGATAAAGTCACACGAATAGAGTAATGACTGGACATAAGCAAGACTAACTTGTTTGAGTCTCGATATTGAAACATTTCGATGATGATATAGATGAAGACTGCGCGCCCTAAAGTTGTCCACTCAAGATGAGAATCAAATTGTGTTTTTACTGCTATGCGACAAGATAGAGAGGACTAAAGCAGCCATTCACAATATTAACTGCGTAAATTGAAAATCAAAAAAAGGCAAAATGACACTGATTTTTCTCCCATTTGTTTTACTCTGCTGTTTTTCTTCGAACAAGCAATGACAACGATAGTTATTTTCTGTTTTTCTTCCGTTTTGCATGTGTCACGAAATGACGTCAGTGCGATAACGCCTTGTGACATTGCTTGCACATTAATCCTATCAATCCTAGAATTAATCATCACCTGGGCATAACGTGTGCTGCTCGAAAATTTTCGCGGAACAGCTATTGTATCGATATAGAAAGTTGATTCTGAGGAATATAGTATTTATTGACTTACATCATCGTCCTCTAACACTACTGATGCATCATGGCTGTGTCAAGATATCAGCATATTAGATGAATCAAGGAAGTTTTATGATTACTTTACACTACATTTATTCATCTCTCTCCAATTAATCTCAACCAACAATATTATAGATTCAATGCAGAAAACAGCACACCTATTGGTAGATGAGAATGAGGATAAGTGTAAGAGAATGAGGGGTTTCTCTTAGGCCTCACCCATCCTTACTCAACCTCAACGGGCAAGTAGGTGGCAGATTGTCAATAATACCTGTAAAATATTCATTGTGTTTATATTTTACGTAGGACATCCTAGGTCAGGATTAGCCGAGAATCCCAATCAAGTCAGATCAACACTAGGCCAAGATACCCCTCAACAAACACTATTCATTCATATAGTTAATCTTCGCTAAAAACCACATTATCCCATAGGAAACCACTGAAATACCGACAAATGTCTATCTGTAGTGCGGTCAAAGGTCAAATTCATAGTTTTGAGTAGAATCATGTTAAAACCTTTTGAGATATTATGGAATCTTTCACTACTCTCTATGATTTTCTAGCGCCCTCCGAAACTTTGTGATGGAATAAGTGAGCGTGAGGATAAGACAAGAGGGCGTGTGAGAGTGATGAGAAGACATTCACATAGTTACACTTACACATTCTCATTGTATCTATCACCTATTCACCGTGATTCCCATTCGCCTATGGCCGCTCTTGGCAATTCAAGGATAGTTTTAAAAAGCCACCCTCGATTAAATAGTTCTATTGGTTTGAAAATCAACGTCGTCAAAACTACCTATAAAAAAAGTAGTTTTATCACCTTTTAGATAAAGAAAAGTATTATCAATAAGGAAATGAGTGGTGGTGTTGATGGTCTTTTGGAATTTCTGCTCTATGTTGGCCAAGCCAAACGAACACTTCGCACAGGTTGGGTTTTACGTGGTGTTGAAAGAGCAGAAAGTGTTGCAGATCATATGTATCGAATGGCTGTTATGTCACTTTTATTACCAACTGTATCAGAACAATCAAAAGTCCGTTGTATGAAATTAGCACTTGTACATGATTTATCAGAATCAGTTGTTGGAGATTTAACTGAATTTGATGGCATACCGAAAAGTGAAAAACACCGACGAGAAAGTGAATCAATGCTTTATTTAACACGTTTGTTACCAGCTAATGTTGGAAAAGAGATATTTGCATTATTTAATGAATATGTTGATAAAAAAACAAATGAAGCAAATCTTGTGAAAGATTTAGATATATTTGATATGCTCGTACAAGGTCTCTTTTTCAAATAAAATTAGGAGTATTTATTTTTCTTTTATTTAGCTTATGAATATGAAAAAATTCAAGGTGAAAATGGATTTTTAGAAGAGTTTTTTAAAAGTTCAGTCAATAAAGTACAAACGGATATTGTTAAAAAATGGCTCCAAGAATTGATTCAATGTCGATCATCAACAAAACAAGTTCAATTACCATCTGACTCAAATCTTAATACAATGCTTAAACATGTTCTTTATGATAATCAAGGTTTGCTTTTTTTCTTTTGTAAAAATAAATGAACTCAGATTTTGTTAATGCTTTTTAATGATACAGGAACATATCTTTACAAACTTCCAGCATCTGATATTCGTGAAAAAGTAAATGATTTTATCTCAAGTAAAAGTCAAAATGATAATTCATCATCAATTGATACAACTGAATGTTTGACAAATTTTGTCAAAGATGTCGAAGATCGATATGATTAAACATTTACTATTTTATAGAATACTTTAAAGAGAAAAAGAAAACATCATTATCTTTGAACTTGAATTCTTCAAATTGCTTTTGTGCTTCTTCTTTTATTATTTGCTTTTGTTCATATTGACAGTTAGTGGTGGATGTTTGTATTCTTCTATTATACAGTATTATTATCTTTTTCATCTCATATTGTGTATAAATAAAAGAATATTACTCTGAACACTTGTTATGCTATATTTCAGATGGAAAATTTTTCTTTTTTCTTTTTTTCGTTTTAATAAAGCATAAGGACGGGGGTCACGAAGCCATAAAATTGGTCCCCTTCCAAAATCAAAGTTCTGACTTCGCCAATAATTTATTTTGATGTGATAACATTATTAACTTTGAAATTACACCGTTACAGTGCATTCTAGCAGTCCAAAAGCTTGATGCTATATATCAGTTGCTTGGCTATGATACGCAACATTTTTGAGAAGCTTTATCTTTCTCCTTTCAAGGCTTAATGGTCATACTAAATATCAAACGAAAGCTCTTTCTTTTCTTTATCGAATGATATACAACACAATAGCCAAGGATTATGTTTTACCTATTTTCTTTAGAGAACACAGCCATCGAGTCATAATAATAAGGAGAATTCATATGAAAATGTCCGTCATCTGATAGTGTTAAAGTCGTGGCTCAATTTAAATTTCATCTCAATCGATAGGGATGACGATCTTCCACTCACCCTGACACCCTCACCCTCAAAAAAGTTTTTAGATAAAGTGAAATAACTTGACCAATAGCGATCAAAAGATATTGTCGACAGGTATTGTCAAAATCAGACTTCAATACAGATCAGAAATCGAGATGAAAAGCATGAAGAAAAACAACATCCAAGGATTCGAATAAATCATGTGCAAGTTTGTTACTTAATTATTCGAACTGCATCGCTGCTTTGTTGGCAGTGCAATCAAATAAGCATTGTGGATATTTGATAAGAAAAAAACTTCCTTTCGTTCTGTGAACTATTTCTCTTTCTTTAATAAAAATGCATCCCAAAATGAGACGGAAACCACACTTTTGTGGTGAACTACAAATTTCATCTCAGTGTTCCGTTTGTTAACACACAAGTAACATTATAAAGCGGACAAGAAGACGATAGAATTTCATTGGTTTCGATTATCTTTTTCCGAACTGACGGAAAACATTGAAGAGAAAAATGATTGAAAACCAAAAATAGGAGTATTAGGTGTGTGTATCGATGAAGATGAAGGTGTTGATAGGTTAGATGTGTGACAATATTACAATAGAAATGCATTTCTTCGCTTTCACCATTATACTTTTCGACATTCTACTGTGGGTGTGGGTGTGCGGGTGTACTATTTTCCTTCAATGTATTCCATTATTAATACCCACACTCATACCCCATACCCACACCCACACCCTAGTTTTGACTTAGATTCTTCTCTCATTCGTTCATCTAAATGCAGCTTTTTCTCCATCTGCCTGTTTTTGTCGATCTGTCTTCGTCATTCCATACGTTGACTCCTCTGAATTGATCGGTGATTGAACTTTGTTCATGGTCATCTATCTTTCAATATTCAGACACGAATGATTCCACTGCATATCACCAGCTACTGTCTTGATACCCAATCTCAATACCGCTCATTTTATTTTGTGTTGAATTCAAACTCGTCTTTAGAAAAAAATCTTTTCAAAAAAGATCTACAATTTTGCGCATTTAACTCAATTATAGAAAAAAATTGAATGTTTTATTGACTTTGTACCTGCTATTATTCGCGTCCAGTATATCGACCGACAAACAGGGGTACTTGTGTTTGACGATCACGCACAAAGAAGAGGAATGGTCGATCAAATTTGAGAGGGAATGGTTGTGAAGGTCCAGACCCTGCCTTGATGATCACTGCCGTGACAGCACCTGCCTTGGTTCCAGCCTCGTTCACATCAATCATCGCCTTGTGAACGATCTTTGAGATGTACAATCGTTCCTTGTTCTTGCTCATCAAACTGAAATCAGCTTCTTTGGCATCGAATGGTACAAAAACATTGTAATAGTTCTTTAAGTGCGCAATAAAGTCAAGTGTAGATTCGAGATGAAATTTAGGCAAGAACAAGTGAATACGAGGATGGTTGCCCTCGTTACTTTCATCCAGTTGAGTAAAAACATTTGCTAGTTCTTTTCCGCTGGTGAATCGTTGCTCGAGCGCCTTCAATGTATCATTAGGCAGTGCGAGCGTCAACACGTAGCGACCATCTTTCGAATCATAGGGCAGATTGATCCAGTGAGCGTTGCTCTGCTTCGAATAGGCAGAATGATCAATGAGATGCATGGTAGGCACCAGAATATTGTTGCCTGAGCTCAGCGTAAAATTGTCTAGAATCGTTTGATTAGGATTAAATGGCAATACCCATGGGCTTTTGAAATGAAGCGCATTGACGAGAATGAGTTTAGTGAGAACTGAATCGATGTCATTCGAACTCAGAACAGTTGGAATCGTATTGTTTGTCTTATTAGCCACCCAACTATTGATGTGATCGGCGACCATTTGTGGTTGAGCAAAATTGAGACTTTCAAGTTGACTTTCGTATATTTTGGACAGAATTTCATTGAATTCAGGTCGGACAGTGAACTTGTCATTGACATACAATCGATTGGCGATCGACACTGGGGATGAATCATTTTTCCTAACATCTGTTCGATTCGGTTTGACATGAGATTGAACAGAAATGTTTGATGTGTTTTCGTCTCTTAAGGATCGGAGATAAGTCGAAGACCATTGTCGAATGGTCCTTCTGTCAGACAGATGAAGAGCGCGTTGAAGTTGGACGAATGTCTTTTCCTGAGCGCCTTCGCTTGTCATCGCCAGGGCCAAGTGAACACTGAGTGGGGACCAAATCAGATTTCGTTCACGGGCCACATTCGATGCCGAATGGTATTGACTCAAGACAGTCGTACAGTCAAGCACAGGCGTTAACACGTCCTTCGACTCACAGGATACGACGACGACGAGCATCACCAGGAGCATGTTCCGAAACACACGCATGTTTTTTAGAGCGAACAGAGAGCAAATGAATGAGATAAGGTTTGGTATCTGAGCTTGTTTTCTGTGTTTGGATGGCAGTAATGACTAGTCGGCAGTATATGGTGCCATCGATATTACGAGTGGTGGCGTTTTTTTCACATTTTCGCCTTCCTTATCTGTGTCAGTAGTGGCTAATGATTGCTGATCTCTCGCTCTTTCATTTGGTCCCCTGTGTCTTCTGCTGTTGCATTTCGACAACGTTTATCAACAAGCGATTTCTCTCTTCGAAAGTTTATTCCCTTTTATGAAACAAAGAGTATTACGTGAGAAAATGTTTATCTGTTTGTTTGTATGTCTGTCAGGCGGGAAAAGAGTCAACGAAGTACGAAACATTGCCGCTCTAAGCGATAGGGTTATGCATAACATTTTGCTAGGGAGGAGAAGGGTACAAAGTTCAGAACAAATCAAACAATTGTAAGTATTATATCGATTTAAACCTTTATTTAACCTAAATAAAAATAATACAGCAATGTTTTGTGTGACCACCATTGGTTTCATGCACAACCCTCACTCGTTGAGAGTACGACTTCATTAGCTTTTCGAAAAGTTCTCTTTCATTTTCAAGTTCATGAAGAACATTTTGAAGATATTGAAGCAACAACATTTTAGAATTTCGCCCAGAACCATATTCATTAATCATAAGACTTTCCACTTGGATGTATGCGGATATGGGTATGGGTATGGATGTAGTTGAAGAGATGGCTCACAATCACACCGACACACTTTCACCCACACCCACACCCACCCTCCTATAACTTGAAATTAATCTGGATTTGTTTATTATTATTATTATCTTTGTCGTGTTATGTGTACTTTGATTTGATGTATAGATATCGTTGTTAAGGTGAATGCACTGATGATGACCGTATTTACAAGCTGGTTCCAACAGACACTGGTCGAAAATTCTACTTGTCATATAATTGAAAAGAATAGATAAAATAAATTAATTATTACTGCATTTTCTCTTGATTTAATATGATTTTCGTTTTATTATTCAAGTTTACTTATTTATAGTAGCAGGGTATTTTTTCGGGTACTCTTAACTCAGTACATTCACTAGGGATAGAGGTTCGATAAGTAACCTAAAAAGTACTGAAATCTGTTCAGTATTCGTTTTATTCTTAGTATAATTGTTGCTCAACAACGAACCATTTCGTCTCTGTGTTCTTTGATGGGTGCCAAATTCGACTTTTTTTACTAATTACTTGTATATTTTTGCCATCATCGAACTGCTTATGTTGAGTACGGTGTTCGGTCTTCGCCCACGTACATACATAAATTTGTCCACAGCAAGAATTACTATGTTAATACTCATTGCATCGTAGATTACATATGGATATTTTCATATAACAAAAGTGATTCAAGCGAAAAAAAGAAAAATGTTGTTTATTCAAAACAATATTGCAACTGGTTGATCATAATCATTAGTTCAACATTTGCTATAAAAGCATGATCTCGAATTAGCTATTATCTCAATATTTTCAATTTGATAAATCTAGAATTACTTGAGATAATATTATCAAGCGAATTTTTCTAACTTGTCAAATATTCAATCGATCACTGCTCTTTCAATCGCTGTTGATCTGTTCACAATAAAAAGATGAAGAAAGGCTTGATTCGAAGATAGTCGAACCAGTGATTGAAACTCTTTCGAATCGTTTCTTTTCTGAAATCAAAGTTGATTTTGTTGGCTTGCCAAAGAATGATTCGCGATCGTTGAATGAAGTACGAATTTTTTGTTTGTTAAGTATGCCTCATTTCTCAGAGAAAAAGTCGACATTGAACAGTAAAACAAAGATGCATTGAATGAAGTCATATTGAATTTGTCGAATATCATCTTGATCGAAATCATGTCCAATTGAGAATTCAATCAAATTAAAAATCAATTTGAAGACACAAATGAGAGTCATTGAAGATTACTT